ATCACCTATACAATATGATTCAGATTCCTTCCTACGTTTGTTGAAGGTCTTGCGTTGCTCTTCTTGGGCCTTTTCAATTTGATCCTTGGCTCGCTGACGGTCCTCTTCTCGTTGACTTTCATACCAATGTATGTACTCTTCCTCTATAGCTTCCCTTAGTGACGCAAAGTCAGCATGACGCATCTCCACACCAAAAGTTAGCTTGAATGGAGTCATGCCTATAGACCTCTGCACTGATCCGTTTATTGCCATCTGCACTTTTCCTACTTGTCGATACCACTTTCCTGGTTGGTCGATACACATCTTGGCCAACACATTAATAATTATAGCATTGCGTCGTTCAACCTGTCCGTTTCCACGGGGCATGCCTGTGGTAATTAATATATGTCTAATATTCCGGTCTTTGCAATACTGTTCAAAATTGTTTGATGTGAACGCTGTTCCACGATCAGACACAATACGTTCAGGATTACCAAATGTCACCTCCAACTGTGACAAACGATCAATAACCTCCGACGCTGCAGTGCTCTTTGTAGGGAATAGCCAGCAAAATTTTGAGAACCCATCTATTACAGCCAATATATGCTTATACCCTTTTGACGTTGCCTCCATTGGTCCTAAAAAATCAAGGTGCCAGGTCATCAGCGGTGCATCTCCCTTATCAATAGGGTGAAGGAAACCTTCCTGCCTGCCTTGCTTTCTATTCATTAAGATACACGGGACACAATTTCTAATTACAGATTCAATTTTCTCCTTTAACCCAACAATTGAGTATTCACGACGTACTAACATTTCAGTTTTGGTGACTCCAAAATGGCCTACGTTATGGGCATTCCTAATAACCTCAGTCTGCATGTTCCTGGGAATCACTGGTAAGTCGTTACCATCACATACTTCGTGTAGAATGCCACTCTTGATTACATATTTCCCAGCCACTGGTGCATTCATGATAGTCCGAATATCAGGGTCGCCTTGTTGTGCGGCTACCAACCGTAACAGGAACTCACTTCTCTGGATGGACATGCACACTGGGTAACGACTCAAGGAATCCACATGGGGCATCCTTGAGCCGGACCTGTGTTCTATGGTATAATCGTACTCTGAGACCAGCAATGCCCACCTGGCCACTCTGGTTGCTAAATCTTTTTTCTCCAAGGTTTTCGTAAACGCAGCGCAATCGGTCACGATTTTGAAGTGTATACCCAATAAATACACTCTAAACTTTTTCAACGCTTCTACGATCGCCAGTACCTCTAGTTCATAACTATGGTAGTTACGCTGTGCCTCAGTGGTTTTTCTGCTCATGTAGCACACTGGATGCAACTTACCATCATTGCTATCCTTCTGCAGTAGCACCGCCCCAAATCCCCATTGACTTGCGTCAGTGTGTAACTCTGTCGCTTCAGCTTCCGGACTGTAGATTCGCAACACAGGGGCTTCTGTAAGACGGCGTTTCAACTCTACAAAGGCTTCTTCCTGTTCAACGCCAACTTGGAATACCACATCTTGTTTCAGCAGGTCACTCAGCGGTCGTGCCACATGGGCGTAACCGGATATGAACCGTCTAAAATAACCGGTGAGCCCTAAAAAGCTTTGCACCGCTTTGACGGTCTTAGGTATAGGGAAATGACGCACGGCTGAAAGTTTAACCTCGGAGGGACTGACAGCGTTATGCTGAATACGGTAACCGAGGTAATCAATAGTGCGCTTAAGAAATTGACACTTGGACCACTTAATGTCAAGACCATATTCAGCTGCAATCCCCATCACAGCTTCCAGGCGTGACACGCCCTCTTCCACATTAGCCGCCACAACAACAAGGTCATCCATATATGCCAACAGGTAACCGGCTTTGATCATATCGCGAAATACGAAGTTTACATACCGTTGGAAGACCGGCGGCGATATGCACAGTCCGAATGGCGTACGCAGAAACTCGTATTGTCCACTAGGCGTCACAAACGATGTATATTTTATACTGTTCTCGTCCATCGGTACGTGAAAAAAACCATTCCGTAAATCCAACGTCGAAAATATAACAGCATCGCGCAACTGATCAACCTGCTCGTCGATGAGCGGCAGCGGATAACGGTCACGTACAATTTTTTTATTAAGAGCCCGATAATCGATGCACAATCGCAGTGTCCCATCTTTTTTGGCTACCAGGACCACTGGGCTGGCATAATCAGAACAGTTGTGTCGAATAATACCTTCACTCAGCCACTCTTCCACCTGTCGATCCACAGCAACTCTTTCACGCGGCGCTAACCGCCTGGGCCGCTGATACACAGGAACTTCGTCGCTTAAAATAATGACTGTCTTCATAGGTACCGTTATGCGAGTTTCAGGCACATAGTTACTGACTATTTTTTTAATCGTTGGCAAGAACTCCCTTTCGCCTACGTCTAGTTCCGGCACTTCAACATCAATGGCCATCATCTGTTGTACTTCACGAGCATCGACAACCTCCACAGCTTTCGGTCCCACCCTTAGCTCGGTACTGGTCTGGAACAACGTTCGACCTATAATCACATCATGTCCTATACTGTCGTCACTTACGGTATACACGGTGATGGGGTATGTTCGACCATCAATGTGCAACTCCGTGTCCAACATCTGTTCTGTAAAAAAGTTTGCGCCTGCTGGTCCTCTTAGATGTAGTTGACACATCTTGCTGGTGACATTGACTAATTTCAGTCCAATCGAGTGCCGACAAATATTAATATCGCATCCTGTATCAATCAGAGCCATTGCTTCGCAGCCAGAAATCACTACTGGTTTCACTATACGATCGCTGTTACTGCCATAGTCAACCTGATACACGTTCGGCACGGCGTCACTCTTACCTGGACACTCGAATGATTTATGTCCAAAAGTGCGACATGAGAAACATTTTGGTCCCTTGTCAACGTCAGGACACTCTCTAGACTGGTGTCCACGATCTCCACAATTGAAACACCTAGTTACTCCTTCCACCGATAATCCTCCCGATGTGATCGTCGGCTTTGGTTTACCATCAGCAGTCACCCGAGGTACATTACCCGCTTGAGATCGGCTCCTAATCCGCTCGTACAATTCAATTTTTTTCTTGAACTCACCCAGCGTTGTCGCGCCATATAACACGTTTTTGTCCGCCGAAGTGTCGGGGACACCACAAATCACATAGTCGATGACCGACTCATCTTCAATATTGCCGTGCGCTGCTATTTCCCGCATTTTATATAAGTACTGTAGCAGTGTTTCATCGGCACGTTTCCAACGAGACGATAACTGTCGATGAACATCGGCCGTACTGAGCCGACAACGGAATTGATTTAGCAACTTGTCGCGTAACTCGGACCACGATCGCAAACCACTTTCGCCTCGTACAAAATCAAGGGCTGTGCCCTGAAGCAGTCGCTTGCCATATAAAAACTTATGCAGTTCTGACCAAGAACACAAATCTGAGAACTCTTCGAAATCCTCTACCCATTTCACAATACTACCACTATCGTCTCCGGTGAATGGACGTAATGAATCATGTACATCTGCAAATGTAACGTTAACACTACGCCCGTTCAGCGAACGATCATCAACACGATCGCGGACACTCTCTTCCAGTCCTCGACTCGCTTGCACATTCCTTCGCGGTCGCGGCATTATCAGTAAACAATACTATCAGTTATCACACTACGGTATCAACAATACACTCGCGGTATAATCTGCGTAACCGAACTTGATAAAAGTGAGGTTAGGTTTAAACTCGAATCACGCACAAAAACACAACCATGCGATTATTTAAGTATAAAAATCGGAGCGCAATCCCGGACAGGCCCCCAAAAATGTGGGATTGGGTCACCAAAATGTATACTGGATAAATTAACAACAGAAACGTAACGCACCAAACTCTTTTATTGAACGACACATGAACAATTTAAATTACAATTACAACGACAACGAACAAGGACACACGTCTAACGTCTAAGCAACACTGATGACTAGCTCTTCCCCACCACCTTAGCTGTATCAGGAACCGACCCTCTCTCTAGTGGGCAACTCAACCCCACATATATATATATATATATATAATAAAGGTAGTGTGTAGTGTGTTGCACAATTATATGCGGATACCCTGTTATACACGTGCACTCGTATTATTATTTGTTAACAGTAATGTGATAAGTGATATCAGTTTAGGGCAGAACTACTCGCGGTAATGTACAAGTGTAATATGATAACGCATAGTAGCGCACGTACGCGATCGGGCTGTTGACGGTGGCGGTGGTGTTGGTGGTGAAGTAGGGGTGAGGCGGTGTCGGTAGCGGGCTATCTATGGCTGGGCGGTGAAGTGGAGAGGTGGTGGGCTATCTATGGCTGGGCGGTGAAGTGGAGAGGTGGTGGGCTATCTATGGCTGGGCGGTGAAGTAGTGAGGTGGCGGTGTCGGTGTTGGTGAAGTAGTGAGGTGGTGGTGGAGGTGTGGCGGTGGCGGTGGTGGTGAAGTAGTGAGGTGGTGGTGGTGGTGTGGCGGTGGCGGTGGCGGTCCTAGGATTGGCAAATTTATACTACTATATTAAATTGTTTACTATTTAGTAGTATAAATTTGTTGAGTATGTTCTATAAAACAATTATCACCGATTTCAAAACTATGTAGTGTAACGATCTGGGGCCGAATTCTTGAATCGCTGTGATAATTTATCACGCGTGATATTCATGAATTATCACACAAATATCGAAATTATCGTATTTTGGTATTCTGGAATCTATTTTTGATAATTTACTATTATAACAAAAGTGATAAATTATCCCTAGGCATTTTGCCGGTGAATTTGATTATCACAGTTATTTCATCATGTCATAATGTAAATAAATTGATACATACAGGACTAAAAAATCTTACATTTTATTTAGAACCTAATTGTTTACAGTTTATTTACTATCTTTTTATTCATTGCATTATTCTAAATAATATTATAATAATCTAAATTAAAATATTTAAACATTAAAATATCTTTTGGTAATAATGGATGAGTTTTATGTAGCTGCCCTAGAAAATCTCGAACGACAAGAAAATGCTCTAAATTATAGAAAATTAAATCACAAAGAAAGGTTTGATGCTTTTTTATTGCCAGACGATGTTTTTATTAAAAATTATAGACTCAATAAAAATTTAGTGAGATATGTTATAAACATTCTTACTCCATTTCTGATTGAACCGATAAGAAAATCTGCTTTAGATATACAAACTAAAGTAAGTAAATAATACATTTCTGTGCCTAACAATACCTTATTGTAGGTGAACATAATTATTAATCATAAATATTAAGTTACCTCTACAATACACTTAAAATTATACATCTTTTAATGTTTATAACAATTATATTTAATATTTTTAAGACATTCATCAATTAATTTGTTAATTATAATTTAGGTATTTATAGCTTTAAATTTTTTTGCGACCGGTTCTTACCAACATCCCGTTGGAAATAGTCATTTAACATTTGTTTCCCAGCTATCTGTTTCGAGAGCAATTGATGAAGTAGTAAAAGCTATGAATCAACCAGAAATATTTAATTACTGGGTAAAATTTCCATCAACATACGACGAATTACGACAAACAAGAGAAAAGTAACCTTGACCATAGATATATTTTAATAAATATTATAATATAATATTATATTATAATAACGATTTAATAATTATTTACAGGTTTAATACTAAATTTAGTTTTCCGGGAATAGTGGGCATTATTGATTGTACCCATGTTGGAATATTTCCCCCCAAAAAGGATGATCCAGATCATCCTGAATATATATATGTAAATAGAAAAAACTACCACAGCATTAATGTCCAGCTAGTACGTATATTATTGATCATTACATTGGTTAAATAATAAATTTAATGATAGACTATAGTAATAATATGTTATAATTTCCATAGTAATACTTCTTTATTTATTTTTTATGTAGGTATGCGATTCGGATATGAGAATAATTAATGTTTCAGCATTATTTCCAGGGAGTGTGAATGACGCCTACATTTGGAACAATAGTCAACTAGAACCTATTCTTAGAGAAATTAATAACCATTACCCTGAAGGATTCTATCTTTTAGGTATGAATATGTCCTAGTAGGTAATAGATGGTAATAGGCACTTTTCATTACATTGGTAGTTTTTATCTATATGAAAGTTAGATTTTCTTTATATTATAATTTATTATCCTATAAGTTATTTATTACATAATTGAAAAATTACTAATATGGGTTACAGGAGATTCCGGTTACTCCTTGAGACCTTGGCTTATGACACCCTTAGCGCAATATCAACCTAATACACCCGAAGAAAGATACAATCACAGATTTAAATATGTTAGAAGTTTGATTGAAAGGTGTATTGGTCTTTTGAAAATGCGTTTTAGGCAAGTTAATATTATTGTATTATTGTAATTATTAACTTATTTATAATTTTAATACTTAAAAATATTTCAAAATAGGTGTTTGTTGAAACATAGAATTTTGCATTATTCACCAGTAAAAGCATGTAAAATAGTTAACGCTTGCACTATTTTACATAATATATGTATCCAAAATAATATACAATTTCAACAAGATGATGAAATTGAAGAAGTGGAAGAAATCGACTTAGAAATGTTTGAAGCAGTAGACAATGAAATAGGAAATAGACAAGGAATAAATGAAGAGTTATTAGCTGGTAGAAGAATGCAGCGCCGTGTCATAAGATATATTTCATATGAATGAGAAATAAAAAAAATGTATTTTACCATTAATGTAAAATTTAATATGAATAAAAATTATAAGTAACTCTCAGGTAATATAGTACAGTCTTTTGTAAAAGATAAACTCAAGATAATAAAACAAAACAAAATTTAAAAAATAACAAATCATTAGGCATGAAAACTTAATTAATACATTTAAAAAACAAATTTAAGTAGGAAATATAATAATAATAATTGTATAAAAATGTTAATCACTATTATCAAGCACTCTTAGTTACAATATTACAGCCTTTTGTAAATTTTTAACACAACAAAACTATTAAATTATATATATATATATAAAACTTAACAAATTAATACAAAATACTATATCTGCAATATATTTTGAACTATAGCATATTATGTTTCTCACTTGCAAGTACTTGCCTCAATAAAAGTTGGTTTTTCTGTTCCAGTAGATGAATCTTTTTATCATAATAATTTTTTTTAAATGACAATTTTTGTCTTGCTATTTCTACCAACTGTTCAGTAGCTGTTACACTTTTTTGTAGTCTTACCGCAGCCATGGACCGACGCTTTTGGGATTTTTTTGGGTACTCAATTGCAACAGAATCCTGGATTTCATCTTGTTCTGATATATCTGCTTAGTACATTTTTCAAACAAAATTATATATTTAAAAATATAATACATTTAAGAAAAGCTATTCAATTTTAAGTAAGATATTACCTAATCTTTTTTCCTGTTCAAATGGTAATGTAGACATGTTTTGCACCGTAATAATATTAAAATTATTATCAATTGGTTCAATATTCTGATTATCGATATTAATTTCATAGTCTTCAATGGTCAATAAATTATCATCAACAATGGTTGTATTGTCTTCAATCCTTATTTCATTACCTTCAATAGCTATTTTATCGCCTTAAACAAAAGAAATTTGAAACTCAATTAGATGTAGTTTATTTCGAATTACACATATTTATCAATGAATATTATTTTTATATTATTACCTATTGTTTCAAAGTTACTTTCACCAGTAAAACTAAAATGAACATTCGATTCTGCGACACCGATATGTCCAGTTATAGTTGTTGGATTTATTAGCGACAATATTTTGTCATCAGTTTCATTTAAATGAGTTGAACAACTTGGACCCCCTCCAGTTTTATTAGAATATTTTTTTATTTGAAAATTCTTTCCTTTTGTTTTAGTTTTTAGATCTGCCCATGCCTAGAAAAATAAATAGTTATAAGGTAGGTTAGGTTGGCTACCTAGCCATAAGGTAGCCATAATATAGTTGTTAAGTATGTTGTTAAGTTTATTCTTAAGCCTTAACTATAAAAATATTATACATATATTAGTTATTACTTACTCTTTTCCATTCTTGAGCATTTTTCTTGCCCCCTGGAATAGAATTTAATTTATTCGCAATGCTATTCCACTTTGCATCTGCAACTTTTTTAGTAAAACTTTGAGAAAATTTACCGGATCTTAGAGCATGTTCTTCTGTTAATAACTCAATTAACTATAATTTCCAATCATATTGTGTACTACTTCACTTAGTATATTTATTAGGCAGTGGTATTACTTATGTGTTTAGGTAGTTGCAGGTAAGCATAATATAAGATTGTTAGTTTATTATTCATTATTATTCTCCTAGACTACATGACATACATGTCAACTTATTGAACTTAAATAAACAATCTTAGGTACATATAACGATTCATTATTTGAATAATTAACCTGTAAGTAGTATGGTCTGGTGCCATAGACCGCTGCAGTTTTTGTTTTGGTTTACTTATTAAAATGTCGTACCACTTACGGGTTAAATATGGAAATAAATACCAATATAATAAATATACACATACAATTAACACTAATGACTGAATCCAATCAGATTCATTTTGTTCTAAGTACATATTATGATATATATTTATTTGGTATAATCGTATAGATAAAATTAGACATTTTTTTTAAACTTTATTGAGTTTTATATTGTACCAAAGTATTGTGTATTATTTATAACATATTAAGTTATCAATTGCGTAAATTGCGATATTGTTAACATTTATATTTCTAACATAATAAGTAATAACTAATTTAATTTAATTTAACAATTAATATAATTGATATACCTTTATACAAATATAATAATTTATGATATGTTTAATTATGTAAAACAGGTAGTCAATCTCTATTGATGAATATATAATAATATAATGTTTTATATTACTAATATATAGTATAAGTCTAAACAGTACTTTATGATAGACAACTATGACTATATTATGTTAATTAGTAAACTGTTTAGCACTATTGGTTAATTCAATAATAATTTTCTTCACACACCATGTTTACTTAAGTGTAATTTATGTTTTTACAATATTCATGATCAACATCTCAAAAAAGTAATAATATTTTGGTATATATAATAAATAATAATGTATATAACACTTAATATTCTAAAATAATTTTGCGTACCACAGCCGTAATATAAAAGTATAAAACAGTATTTATATAAATTTTAATATTTTATAATATATTAAACAATACATATATATAACAAAACAGTTAACATACATATTAGTCACTTAACATTATAAAAGTAATGAATACAATTTAAAAAAATTTCAGAATCTGTGGAACATCATTAATATAAGCCATTATGGTTTTAATGTTAAACTGTGTCATTATTATTATTATTATTATTATTATATTTAAATTTAAACTATTTATTGTAAATCTATTTATTAAAATATTATAATTGTGTATATTTTACACTGTATGTCTGTACCATACTGTATATTTAAAATAAAAAGTTAAAAATATAAAAGTTCTTTGAACAATTTTGAATTGGAATATTCAAATTGTACCAATTAGTAATTTAGTTATTTGTTGTATTAATCATATTTTAAGTTAAATATAAATTCTTATGTAATTATATTTATTACAATAATTAGATAGAAAATACATTTATTATTAACTACAAAGGTACAAATTAACTTAATTTAAATTTATAGTATTTTTATAAACAATAGTTTGATTCTTACAATCTTAACAATAATTTAATGTTTTATTCCTCGCAATCATAATTAATTTCAAAAATGATAAAATTATTATTAAAATTAATCATTATTCAGTTGTGTAATTTCATCTATCTGAAACTGGTAATGACAAAATATATGTATGAACGGAAGAAAACATAATTGAGTAGTCCATGTTATACATTGATATCCTAGTTTATCTGGAACTTGAAAACCCTCTTTTGCTGACTATAAGAAACAAAAAAATACATTTAATTGTAATTCTTGTAAACATATATTTTTAAGTAACTGTAACATAGGTATTGCAAATTAATCGTTATTTATTTATTATGATAATGTTTTGGAGGGTAAACAGTTATTTAACTAACATAGTAAACATATGTGTGTAGTTTGTATAATGTATTATGTGCCAAGTTGAGGTAATTTCTGATCTATAGACTTTAACGATACTGGATGAAACTTTGGGATGTGATTTTTAATAAATTGATGTTATAATAAGCTATTAAATGTTTATTAAAATACAACTTGTAACAGATGTCGGGTTCTTGGTATTAGGCTTAAATAATAATATCAGTTCAAGTTCAGATATATAATTCAGAGGCAATTTATTGACAAAGATTTTAATTTGTAGGTACAATAAATAATTTATGCATGATGTACTTACAGTATCAGTTAAAGAAGAAATATAAGTATTAAGTAGGTATTTTAGGTATCTATTTTAGATTCTGAATGGAGCGATGATTGTGTTGATTTTACAATGATGAAATATTTTATTTTATTTTTGTGTCATCATATTTTGGTGCAGTAAAAATGCCTAACATCTTTTCTACTTCAACATTAAAAATAATCTAGTTAGTACTTTGGAGGGTCAAAAGTAAAAAATTCCCAGAACTTTTCAAAAACATCAAGAAAAATAAACCAACAATTAAGGAAAAACTAAGATTTTTATCAGGGCTTGAAACCGGTATTGAAATCGGTTTCATATACCGGTTAAAACCATAACAAAATCGAAATCGAAATTGAAATCAAAATTGAAACCGTAAAATTTTGATAACGGTATTATAAATAATAAAAGAAACGAATAAAAGTTGAAAACCGTTTTAAAAATTAAAATCAATACCAGAAAAAATAGATAACGGTATAAGTAAACGAAATCAAAACAGAAAAAAAATATATTTATTATTGAAAATTAAAATCAAAACCGATAAAAACGGGAAACGTTATCAGAAAATCTAATCAAAACTGAAAAAAATGGATATTGCTATTAGAAATTGAAATCAAAACCGAAAAAAATGGATATTGCTATTAGAAATTGAAATCAAAACCGAAAAAAACGGATAATGCTATTAGAATTTGTAATCAAAACCGAAAAAAAACGGATAATGCTATTAGAATTTGTAATCAAAACCGAAAAAAACAGATAATGTTATTAAAAACTGTAATCGAAACCGGAAAAGGCGGATACCGCTATTATAAATTGCAAAATGTAGTGTACACTGGATAATAATAAAAATAAAACTTTACTACCAAATTATTAGAAGGGCTCATTGACGCCCCCCGTCTACTGGAACGACTCTGCATTCGTGTTCCAGGCAACACCATAGGTCACAAGATTATTTTTGCAAAACGAATTTTGCTAAAAATTCCCCAATCATAAGAATGATGTCCATTACCAATAATAGTAACTAGAAACTAGTAAGTCTCTAGTACCAAGGTCCAAGGCCACATTAATTTTTATATAATTTTATATTGTTACTTTGTTACTTCACTATTACTATCATTATTTTACTATATTATGTTCATCTAAATACATATAATATGTGATGTCCCATTATATATCTTGTATGTAAAAAGCCAAATGGTGTTAATTCATATAAATAAAAAAATAAAAAGAGGGGTCAAGTGTATGTCGCTCTGCTGTACAGTAGTTTATAAGTTGGTCACTGTAATGGATGGTATTAAATTTGAATCCAATGA